CCCGTATAGGTTGCAAGCCGACGATCCCCGCAGGATGGATCGGATCTGTGGATTGGGGAGCATAATGGATGGGACTCAGATCCATTATGCTCAATCCGCAGATCCCATCCATCCTGCGGGGATCATCGGAGGGGTGACACCAAGTGTTACTGCACTGGGTGACACCAACCCTAGGGACACCCCTGATTGGAGAGAACACAATGATCTGGCAAACAGGAAGTGCAAAAACATGGCTTAAAACAGGAAGTTCGTAGGAGGAGTAAAGAGGTTCACCAAAACTAAGAGACAAGGCAAGAAAGTCCAAACAATCAGTCAGGGAGCTGTCCAGCATCTGAGGTGGCTCAGCAAGAAAAGAAATTGCCAGACATGGCAGAGGTTGCAGGTTCAGACCCGGGTCCTGACACCAAAGACTTTGCATTTCTGGTATTCATATTACACCCAAGTACCAAATCCAGGGGATAGCCCTATCTTCCTTCAGAACAACCTTCATGGTCCATAGCATGTTTCACATTTATAGAGACTTAGTGGGGCCCATGGCATCCATAGTACAGTCCTTCACATTGTTCATAGAGTAGGCCAGGAGTGGAACTATCAAAACTTTGCCTTTCCCACAGAGGATCAGGGGAAGAACACCGGCCACTCCAGCCCTCGCTAGCAGGAGACTTCACAAGGGGGCAGACACCCTCAACACTTTACAGCATACTCACCCTTCACCCCAGCTTACAGAGATGGAAACAGAAAGAGATTGAGTGGTCCATTTTTTTGGGGGGAGGGGTTTTTTTTTTTTGGTTAACTTTTTTGTCTGAGTATAGATCTATGCTTGTCCCACGCATGTGTGAAGCTGTTTATTGTTGACGCTCACTAGCTCTGCTGGAAGTTTATTCCAAGCATCAACTACTCTGAGATTAGTTTTGAACTTTCCTCCAGTTAGTTGGAGGCCATGTCCCCGTATTCTTGATTTTGGTTTCATGTTACAAAACCCTGCCCTCTTGAACCTCATTCACCTCCTTGAAGTATTTAACCTCCCTAGCGGTCTGATTATGTCCATATTTCTGTGCTCAAAGCGGTACATTTTTTTGCATGGAAATATGTAGTTTTTTTTATTGTAGGCTGTAATTCTTAGGAATAACTCACTGAAATCTGTCCCGAACAAGAGTCTAGTAAACATCCCGGGTATGATACAATTTGAAACATGAAATCATAAATTATAATTTAATAAATAATCATAAAAATAACAATATAATAATAATAAATGTAATTCAATAATATAATTAAACCAAAAACACTGAAATGTGAAATATAGCGCCAAGTTCGCACATCGCTGAGCTCAGTCGCAGAATCGTTTTTTAGTGTCTGATGAGGAATTTCCCCCACCAATCATTATCACTCAATTCTGCAAGTGGTTCTGATTTACTATCGCTGTTCTCTAGCCGGTCTAAAACCGCGTCTGACCTAAAGGGACGCTTTTTGGACGCCATGGACGTTTCTCAGTTTCTCTCCAGAACTGGACACAGTATTCTAAATGAGATCTAACGAAAGATCTATATAGAGGAATCAGGACCTCCTTCCTCCTGCCGGTGACCCCTCTAGTGATAGGATCTATATAGAGGAATCAGGACCTCCTTCCTCCTGCTGGTGACCCCTCTAGTGATATAAAGATCTATATAGAGGAATCAGGACCTCCTTCCTCCTGCCGTGACCCCTCTAGTGATATATAGATCTATATAGAGGAATCAGGACCTCCTTCCTCCTGCTGGTGACCCCTCTAGTGATATAAAGATCTATATGGAGGAATTAGGACCTCCTTCCTCCTGCCGTTGACCCCTCTAGTGATATAAAGATCTATATAGAGGAATCGGGACCTCCTTCCTCCTGCCGTGACCCCTCTAGTGATATATAGATCTATATAGAGGAATCAGGACCTCCTTCCTCCTGCCGTTGACCCCTCTAGTGATATAAAGATCTATATAGAGGAATCAGGACCTCCTTCCTCCTGCCGTGACCCCTCTAGTGATATAAAGATCTATATAGAGGAATCGGGACCTCCTTCCTCCTGCTGGTGACCCCTCTAGTGATATAAAGATCTATATGGAGGAATCAGGACCTCCTTCCTCCTGCCAATGATCCCTCTAGTGATATAAAGGTCTATGCAGCGGAATATTTCCCCTCTTTATATTTTAGCGTTCTTTGTAATTTTGCTTTTTTTTCTGTTTTTTTTTGTTTTTTTATTTGGTCCTTATTTGTATACTGTCATTTACATTTTTCTTTCGCTTTTTTCACAATCAGTTTTTTTCTTTCTGTGAAAAAAAGTAAATTATTGAGGATAATGAGGGGTTATTTATGGCAGGGAGGCTCACTGATGGAGGTGGGGAGGGAAGGCTCATTGATGGAGGTAGGGGGAGTCTCACTGATGGACGTGGGGAGGGAAGGCTCATTGATGGAGCTGGGAAGGGAAGGGTCATTGATGGAGGTGGGGAGGGAAGGAACATTGATGGAGGTGGGGAGGGGCTCATTGATGGAGGTGGGGAGGGGCTCATTGATGGAGGTGGGGAGGGAAGGCTCATTGATGGAGGTAGGGAGGGAAGGCTCCTTGATGGAGGTGGGGAGGGAAGGCCCAGTTGTGGAGGTTTGAAGGAAAGACCCATTGATGGAGTTTGGGAGGGAAGACTCACTGATGGACATGGAGTGGGAAATGACCAAATGTAAGGACTTGAGGGAGTTTGACACGGACCAAACTAATGTCTAGATGACGGGGTGAGAGCATCTCCAAAACTACAGCTCTTGTGGGATGTTCCCGGTCTGCAGTGGTCAGGACCGACCAAAAGTGGGCCATGGAACGAAAAATGGACAACCAGTGATAGGGTCATGGGCAGCCAAGGCTCGTTGATGGAGGTAAGGGGGAGGCTCATTGATGGGGGGGGGAGGGAAGGCTCATTGATGGGAGTGGGGAGGGAAGGTTCATTGATGGAGGTGGGGAGGGAAGGCTCATTTATGGAGGTGGAGAGGGAAGGCTTGTTGATGGAGATGGGGGGAAGGCTCATTGATGGAAATGGGGAGGGAAGGCTTATTGATGGAGTTTGGGAGGGAAGTCTCATTGATGGAGGTGGAGAGAGAAGGCTTGTTGATGGAGATGGGGGGGAAGGCTCATTGATGGAGGTAGGGAGGGAAGGCCCAGTTGTGGAGGTTTGAATGGAAGACCCATTGATGGAGTTTGGGAGGGAAGGCTCATTGATGGTGGTGGAGTGGGAAGGACTATTGATGGAGGTGGGAGGGGGGAAGTTCATTGATGAAGGTGGGGGAGGAAGGCTCATTGATGGAGGTGGGGTGGGAAGGCTCATTGATGGAGAAAGGGTGGGGGTTCATTGATGAAGGTGGGCAGGGAAGGCTCATTGATGGAGGTGGGGAGGGAGGGCTAATTGATGGAGGTAGGGGGGAGGCTCATTGATGGAAGTGGGGATGGAAGGCTCTTTGATGGAGGTGAGGGAGAGGCTGGTCTGTGTAGTCCAATTGAATAAAAGAGCTACTGGAGCTCAAATTGCTGAAAAAGTTAATACTGGTTCTGATAGAAAGGTGTCAGAACACACAGAGCATTGCAGTTTGTTGTGTATGGGGCTGTGTAGCCACAGACCAATCAGGGTGCCCATGCTGACCCTTGTCCACAGCCAAAAGTACCTACAATGGGCACATGAGCATCAGAACTGGACCACGGAGCCATGGAAGAAGGTGGCCTGGGCTGATGAATTCAAGAACGGTTTGAGGAACACAGCAATGAGTTTGAGGTGTTGACTTGGCCTTCAAATTCTCCAGATCTCAATCCAATTGAGCATGTGTGGGATGTCTGTGATTTGAGTTCAGAACTCTGTGCAGACATCAGTGAACGACACTGCTTCGATCCGACAGGCAGGAAATTGGATGTCCAGGGGGAAATGCACGCACATCCAGCACACAGATCGCCCGCAGGTTGAAAGGAAGCAATAACTGGACTTTGTAACAATGTTAGAAAATGACGATAAATTGGATCGTTCCGGTTTGCACCATTCGGTGTCTCATTCACTTTTTACAGCCAAGCTGCCTGGTGTGCGCAGCAATCCCTCAGCATCCTCTGTGCAGCTCTCTTCCGGAACGTATCCCAGATGGAGCATTCCCGGAGCGGCTCTTGTTTCCGTCGCAGGGAAGAACATGGAAAATTCGTCTTACGCTCCACGTCCTGGGAAGTCTGGTTGGCCCCTTCGCCGCGCTCAGCGTAACACGCCCTGCGCTCCGTGCCGTGAGAAGGAATTCCCCATCCGCAGAACATGATATCACCCGCAGGTGTCTGTCAGATATTTCACAATGACTCTTCCACACGCCATGGCGGGCATATCGGACGCCGGTGTTAACCCCTTGACTGTCAGATGCTTGCAGCACGGTAAAACAATCCTGGACAGAACTGTAGTCTCTCAGTCTGATGACGATTTCCGAACGAGTCGTTCTTTGCAATGAAACGAAGAACGCTACAGTAGATGATCCCCACTATAAGTATCAGTCACCGGAGTACAGGCAATAAATCTGACCTCCGGCATTCCCTTCAGTCATGCACACGTTTACTGGCTCCTCCCCTTCAGGCCTGCACAGATGTACCAGCTCCTCCCCTTCAGTCTTGCACAGGTGTAGCGGCTCCTCCCCTTCAGTCTTCCACAGTTGTACCAGCTCCTCCCCTTTAGTCGGGCACAATCATACTGGCTCCTTCCCTTCAGTCTTGCACAGGTGTACCTGCTCCTCCCCTTCAGTCTTGCTCAGGTGTCCCAGCTCCTCCCCTTTAGTCTTGTACAGTTCTATCGGCTCCTCCCCTTTAGTCTTGCACAACTGTACCAGCTCTGCTCCATTTAGTCTTGCACAGGTGTACCAGCTCCTCCCCTTCAATCTTGCACAGGTGTACTGGCTCCTCCCTTTCAAACTTGCACAGGTGTATTGGCTCCTCCCCTTCATGCTTGCACAGGTGTAGCGGCTCCTCCCCTTTAGTCTTGCACAGGTGTACGGGCTCCTCTCCTTTAGCCTTGCACAATTGTACCAGCTCCTCCCCTTCAATCCTGCACAGGTGTACCTGCTCCTCCCCTTCAGGCTTGCACAGGTGTACCAACTCCTCCCCTTCAGTCTTGCACAGGTGTACCGGCTCTTCCCCTTCTGTCTTGCACAGGTGTAGCGGCTCCTCCCCTTCAGTCTTACACAGGTGTACCGGCTCCTCCCCTTCAGTCTTGCACAGGTGTACCGGCTCCTCCCCTTCAGTCTTGCACAGGTGTACCAACTCCTCCCCTTCAGTCTTACACAGGTGTACCGGCTCCGCCCCTTCAGTCTTGCACAGGTGTAGCAGCTCCGCCCCTTCAGTCTTGCACAGGTGTAGCGGCTCCACCCCTTCAGTCCTGCACAGGTGTAGCAGCTCCTCCCCCTCAGTCTTGCACAGGCGTAGCGGCTCCACCCCTTCAGTCTTGCACAGGTGTAGCGGCTCCTCCCCTTTAGTCTTGCACAGGCGTAGAGGCTCCACCCCTTCAGTCTTGCACAGGTGTAGCGGCTCCTCCCCTTTAGTCTTGCACAGGTGTAGCGGCTCCACCCCTTCAGTCTTACACAGGTGTACCGGCTCCTCCCCTTCAGTCTTGCACAGGTGTACCGGCTCCTCCCCTTCAGTCTTGCACAGGTGTACCAACTCCTCCCCTTCAGTCTTACACAGGTGTACCGGCTCCACCCCTTCAGTCTTGCACAGGTGTAGCAGCTCCGCCCCTTCAGTCTTGCACAGGCGTAGCGGCTCCACCCCTTCAGTCTTGCACAGGTGTAGCGGCTCCTCCCCTTTAGTCTTGCACAGGCGTAGCGGCTCCACCCCTTCAGTCTTGCACAGGTGTAGCGGCTCCTCCCCTTTAGTCTTGCACAGGTGTAGCGGCTCCACCCCTTCAGTCTTGCACAGGTGTAGCGGCTCCACCCCTTCAGTCTTGCACAGGTGTAGCGGCTCCGCCCCTTCAGTCTTGCCCAACTGTACCAGCTCCCCCCCTTTAGTTTTGCTCAGGTGTACCGGCTCCTCCCCTTCAGTCTTGCACAGGTGTTTGGAGGTGGTGAGAGGATTTTTGATCAGGGCAGAGATTAGAGGGGGAGAGGATTTGTGCTAGGAGGGGGGATTTGGAGGTGGGGGGAGGATTTATGATCAGGGGAGAGATTTGGGGAGTGAGAGGATTTGTGCTAGGAGGAGAGATTTGGGGAAGGGAGCGGATTTGAGCTGGAAGGGGGGATTTGGAGGTGGGGAGAGCTAGGAGGAAAGATTTGGGGAAGAAGCGGATTTGAGCTGGAAGGGAGGATTTGTACTGGAAGAGGGTTAATTGTTTGTTAAGGGAGAATTTTGACTTGCAGAGGGAATTTTTTTTCTTAGGGGGTAAGTGTGAAGATAAGTCCTGAAGTGTTTTTTTTTTTTTTTGGGGGGGGGATATAAAGGGATTTGCGGTCTTCTTTGCTAACACACAATGCTCATACATGTGGAGGGGAGCCGTGGGCACTAGATGACCTTGTCCCTGCATTTCTGGTGGATATCAGAAGAAGGAAAGCGAAGATCCTGTGGTATTGTGAGTCCCGACCTAATCCTGTGCTGCCAGTCCTACAAACAAGCCAGTCCTAGGCATTCCCACAGCAAGTAGTGACCGTGTGGAAGATCTGTGTCAGAATAGCGTCCTCAGTTGATTCAGCTCTTTCGGGGTATCCCCAGGGGCGGACTGACCATTTGGGCAAACGGGCACTGCCCGAGGGCCAGGGGTCAGTAGGGGGCCCCATGAGATGCCCCTGGTACCTTTCATAGGCTTTTTTGTGTGTGGTTTGAGGGTGAGGACACAGGGGCACCATGATCCCCTATTGCCTGGGGGTCCCATGAGTTGTCAGTCCGCCCCTGGGTATCCCATGTCTCCCCTATACCCACCCAAGTTGACTTCAGCAGTAAAAAAAAATACAAAAGACACCCATAGAAAATACCGCGTGCCTGGCTGTGCGTGCGCACTGAGTTTGGGGAAACGGGACCCTCCGAGCCAGCGGCTCTTTTGTTGATGCGCTACATTTACTATCAGCCTAAGCCCTGATGAAGGGGACATTGACCCCGGAAAAGCATTGGATATTTCATGAGACCTCCCGTTGTGTGAAGTAAAGATTTATTGGACACTTGTGATATCTGCGGTGCGCTCATTCTCTCTCCGGGGACCCCCTAAGGACACCCCAGCCGCCTCATCGTTCCGGTTTTGTGTCCGGTGTTCCTCCATCACGCCGATTGTTCTTTAGTCCGAGTTGTGCGTCAGTCCAGTCACAGAGGCCAGGAATGACTTCTGTACCGCGAAGGGGATGGAAACAATTTGAGTTTTTGGCTCGGCTCCGTCTTCAGACAAGATTTACGGGGGAGAATAAATTGCGTGTCTTTCTCGTCTTCCCTCCTTGATGGATTTCTGGGTGATACAAATCAAATGCGTTTGAGAAGCGCGGTAACCTCCCCTCCCTGTGGGAACAGTCACTGTGCGCAATAAAACTGCCAGATGCTGGAAAGGAGATATTTCCCCCCCAAGGAGGGGGGGGGGGAGGGGGGTAGCAGGTGCTTTAGGTAAATTGAACTTCATAAAGATGGATGGAAAGTTTCTGCCGGATCTCACATGTGGGGCGTCAAAATCCGAAACAGAATTCCAGCCGAAGGCCAGCACTAGCCATAGAAGTAAATGCACAAGTCTGAGAAAATACATTCCTGAAACTTCACAGTATTTACTAACTGGATCTTCCATCTGATGAGATCCACATTTTATTGTGAACGTTCCATACACGAGCTCCACTTCAGTGACTTTGCCTAGGCTGGGATGATGCCATCAGTCTGCTGCAGGCAGGAGGAAACATTTCCTTAGTTCCCCCCCCCCCCCCAGTGATTAGACCAGGGGCAGACTGACAACTCATGGGGCCCCCGGGCAATAGGGGATCATGGGGCCCTTGTGTCCTTGCCCAAACTCAAAAAAGCCTATGAAAAAGGTACCAGGGGCATCTCATGGGGCCCCCTACTGACCCCGGGCCTTCGGGCAGTGCCCGAGTTTCCAAATGGTCAGTCCGCCCCTGGGTGTTATTGTCATTTTGTTACATTGTTATAAATCTGATATAAATAGAATCATCTAAGGACACAATGATGAGAATTTGGTTCTTTTTTTTTGGTGGCCCCCAAAGCGTGGGGCCCCGTGCAACAAACCAACGTGAGATCCCTGCGCTAGTTTTCCCAATAGACAACAATGGGACCCCTATGTGGGGTAAAACTTTGTAGAAGGCAGGAGGAAGCGTTTCCTCAGTCTCCCCTCCCCCAGTGATCAGACTGTACATTGTAACTTTGTAGAAGTCAGAAGGAAACATTTCCTCAGTCTCCCCTCCCCCAGTGATCAGACTGTACATTGTAACTTTGTCGAAGGCACGAGGAAACATTTCCTTAGAGTCCCCTCCCCCGGTGATCAGACTGTACATTGTAACTTTCTAGAAGGAGGAGGAAGCATTTCCTCAGTCTCCCCTCCCCCAGTGATTAGACTGTACATTGTAACTATGTAATGATCCTATTAACATAATTGGTAGAGTTCTTCAATTGTGAACCTCCAAGGACAAGACTGATGTTGGATGAGAAGACCTGGCTCACCATCAAGTCTTCAATTCATGCCAAAGGTACTCAGTAGGGTTGAGTTCAGGGCTTAGTACAGGACACTTAAGTTTCTCCACTGATCACACCTATATGAGCTTGTTGAACATCCATTCCAAAACCATGTCCTTCATGGAGTTCCCCTCCTGTGGCTATAACATCCTACACTATTCTGGGAAGATTGTGGAGGGTGTCTGTGGGACTTTGTGCCCAATTGTGAGGATAGGTGCTGATGTTGGATGAGAAGACCTAGCTCACAATTGGCGGTCAAATTCATCCCAAAGGTGTTCAGTAGAGTTAAGGTCAGGGATCTGTACAGGACACTCGGGATCCTCCACACCAAACTGGTCCAAACATGTCTTTATGGAGCTGGCTTTCTACACAGGGGACAGTCATGCTGGAACAGAGAAGGATCTTCACCAAACTGTTACCACAAAGTTGGAAGATCACAATTGTTTACAATGCCTTTGTATGATGTTGTATTACCAGTATCCTTCACTGGAGACACCTGTACTCCATTTGAAGGAGTGTCCATATCCTTTAGGCCATATAGTACGGTATATCAGTTTGGGATGGGATGACCCTATTACCATTATGGTAGACCCTCATGACCCTCTAAGGACAGGACTGATGATGAATGAGAACGCCTGGCTAACAACTGGCATTCCAATTCATTCCAAAGGTATTCAGTAGGGTTGAGGTTAGTTGAGTTCCTCCACACTTGTGATGAGCACATCTGAATAGTTTTGATTCAAGGGCAGGTTCAACAAAAGCATCATAAATATGTAGAGCAAAACTGGTCAACCTTCACACCAAACTGGTCAAACCATATCTTTATGGAGTTGGCTTTGTACACAGGGGCACAGTCACGCTGGAACAGAAAAGGGTTGGATTTGCACAATTGTCTACAATGTCTTTGCACGATGTAGTAAAAACAGTACCCTTCACTGGAGATACCCGAACTCCATCATTTGGAAGGGTTCACATGCTTTGGGCCATATAGTGGATCCGTTATGACTGGGATGATCCTATTACCATTATTGGTAGAGTTCTTTATTCATGAACCTCCAAGAATAGGACTGATGTTGGATGAGAAGACCTGGCTCACAATCAGTTTTCTAGTTCATTCCAAAGGTGATCAGTAGGGTTGAGGTCAAGGCTCTGTGCAGGATACTTGACTTCCTCCACACCAAACTGATCAAACCATGTCTTCATGGAGATGGCTTTGTACACAGGGGCACAGTTCTGGTGGAATTGAGAAGGCTCATCCTTACCAATCTATCTATGGGAATTTGTGAAATCAGGTACTGATGTAGGATGAGAAGACCTGGCTCATTATCAGGGTTCTTATTTATCCCAGTGGTGTTCAATTGGGTTGAGGTCAGGACTCCTGAGTTCCTCCACACCAAACTGATCAAACTATGTCTTCATGGAGCTGGCTTTGTACACAGGGCCACAGTCATGCTGGAATTGAGAAGGCTCATCCTCACCAATCTATGGCAATTCATGCCCATTTGTGAGGTCAGGTACTGATGTTGGATGAGAAGACCTGGCTAACTATCAGAGTTCTAATTTATCCCAGTGGTGTTAAATTGCGTTGAGGTCAGGACTCTCGAGTTCCTCCACACCAAACGGATCAAACCATGTCTTCATGGAGCTGGCTTTGTACACAGGGCAACTGTCATGCTGGAATTGAGAAGGCTCATCCTCACCAAATCTATCTATGGGAATTCATGCCCATTTGTGAGATCAGGTACTGATGTTGGATGAGAAGACCTGGCTAACTATAAGAGTTCTAATTTATCCCAGTGGTGTTAAATTGCGTTGAGGTCAGGACTTTCGAGTTCCTCCACACCAAACTGATCAAACCATGTCTTCATGGAGCTGGCTTTGTACACAGGGACATTGTCATGCTGGAATTGAGAAGGCTCATCCTCACCAATCTATGGGAATTCATGCCGATTTGTGAGATCAGGTACTGATGTTGGATGAGAAGACATGGCTAACTATCAGGGAACTAATTTATCCCAGTGGTGTTCAATTACGTTGATGTCAGGACTCCTGAGTTCCTCCACACCAAACTGGTCAAACCCTGTCTTCATGGAGCTGGCTTTGTAGACAGAGGCACAGTCATTCTGGAACAGAACATGGTCTTCACCAAACTGGTACCACAAGGTTGGAAGAGCACAATTGTCTACAATGTCTTTGTATGATGCAATATTAACAGGACCCTTCACTGGAGACACCTGAAATCCATAATTTGGAGGGGGCTTCACATACTTCTTCCCACATAGCGCATTTTAATAAATTTCTTTTCAATGCCACAGGTGAAGGAATAACTAT